AAGAAGTTTTATGTCTTTTTTGTGGGGTCAATGGTGTTTATGGGTATCCTACTGAGGGTTAAGGAAGACCGTAGAAGAATTGATGCATTTGAGTTATGGTGTTGGAGGAGAATATTGAAAGTGCCATGGGCTGCCAAAAGAACCAATAGATCTGTTTTGGAAGAAGTGCAGCCAGAGTGCTCCTTGGAGGCCTAGATGGCCAAACTTCGTCTCTCATACTTCGGACATATTGTCACTGGAGAAGGATATCATGTTTGGTAAGGTGGAGGGTCAGAGAAAAAGAAGAAGACCCCCCAGCGAGATGGATTGGCCAAGTGGCAGCATCGATGGACTCAAGCGTGGCAACAGTAGTGAGGTTGGCTCAGGATCAGCCAGTGTTTTGTTCCGCTGTGCATAAGGTTGGTATGAGTCGGCACCGATTCAGTGGCACCTAACAACAACAACAACAATGGAGGATTAATGTGCTGGACTGCAAAGCTGGTTTGAACCACTAGGTCGACAGTTCAAGCTCACCAACCACTCCTTGGAAACCCTGTACATGCTTGCTATGGGTTCGAACTGACTTGACGGTACTTAACAACAACATTGATGCTTCCTGTGCAAATATTTTCAAATCTGCAAAGTTGCCTTTAATACTTAGCCCTGGTGTGGTGCTGTGGGTTAATGCTGCAGACTGCAAAGTCATTTGAACTGCATGGTCGGCGGTTCAAGCTCACCAGCTGCTCTTCGGAAACCCTAGACAAGGTTGCTATGGGTCAGAACCGACTCGACGGCACTTCACAACACCAGCCCCAAACTTCTCTGCTTTTGAAATATTGTGAGGTTTACTCTTAGGTTCCTTATTACGCTTTTTATCAGATTTTTTTGTGATATTAAATTTGTTCTGCATTCTCAAGAGCTGTGCCATCTTTAGAGCCTGTCTCTTGAAGGAGGACCAGATCTGTTTCATAGCTGTAGGTACAAGTCTCAGATTCTCTTCAGCCACCTCTCATGTGACCCATGCCACGTTGCTTCTTAAACATTGATTCTTGAGTGGCACTGCAAGCGTTTTCTTGTTTGTATGCTCATGCTTTGTTGTGCTTTTTTTCTCTTTTTTCTCCTCTGCAGTTGGTTTTACTCTGTGTCTTGCAACTGCGCTGTGTTTAAAAATCCTTCATATCAATCCCTCTAATATTTCCTTCAGAGTCCTGGTGTGGTGCTGTGGGTTAATGCGCTGGACTGCAAAGTCATTTGAACTGCAAGGTCGGCAGTTCAAATTCACCAGCTGCTCCTCGGAAACCCTATGCAACGTCACTTAATAACAATAATATTTCCTTCATCCTCTGATGCCTGCATTTTGAGTTATTTTATATTATTATTTTATGTTTTTGCTTTTGTTAATTGCTTTTGAATAGGTTCTGACTCACAGCGATCCTGTATAGGGTTTCCAAGGAAGTGGCTGGTGAGCTTGAACCACCAACCTTGCAGTTCAAACTGGCCTTGCAGTCCAGCGCATTAACCCACAGCGCCACACCAGGATTCCATCGTTTATTTCATATGGTCCTTGTTATTTTGCATTAATCACTCTCATGAGGTGCCTTCAGAAAGCTCATGGAATCCTGGAATTGAAAGATAATGGGATTTCTCCATTCACTTTTTAAAGCTCCCTCTTAACTTTCACCTTCTTGTGCTTACTTTTATTATTATTATTATTATTAAACATTTTTATTGTGAGTTGAGTGAACATTTACAGGGCACACCATCAGTTTTACATTCAACAAATCATATACCTTGTTTCATTACATTGATTATAATCCAGTTAACAGTATTTCTCTCTATCCACTTTAGCATTTTAAAAAACAAAACAAAACAAAAAAAACAGTCAGGCATAGATAATAATTTACATCTCCAAAGGGCACATCCTGCAAGTCTGCCTCCTGGCCACCAGCTTTGTGCTTACTTTTGGGGAGTTATATATCTAGGGTCTCTTCCCTGGAAACATTTTGGGCTTCCAATCTTTAGTGCATTGAAGGCATCATTGTCTATGACTTGGGGGTGTGGGGAGGGAATTTTTCATCAGGAAGGGGCTGCGAGTTAGGACTCATTGGGTATCTCAGGGATAATTTATGGTGGGGGCCCTTACTTGTTGCTGTATCAAAGGATTCTTTCCTATATGCTGACCTTGCATTCCTGGGTTGACCCCTCCTTGACCAGAGGCAGCGTAGCTTTTGATGTTGGCAGAGTGAGTGTTGTTTGCTCACTGATGGTTCAGATCCTGGCTTCTAAACCAAACTAGCCAGTGGTTTTCTTCTGTGATGTGGTCCTCTCAGGGGGAGGCCCTGCACCATAGTGGGTCCTCAGGAGGAGCTGAGATGCTCTGTGATATTTTGTGTTCACAGTTGTTGAACCTGTTCGCACGCCGGGCGTGTGCCCCGTCTCGGGTCAGGGAGTGGGCTGAGGGGGCAGGGAGGTGAGGTCCCTTGTCCTTCCCGTGACTCTACGAGTCTGGACTTTGGCAACTAAGCACAGGCTCCACATTGCTCTTCATTGGTCACGTTACACTGAGGGATGATAAGCTTCTGTCTGTTCTGATACAAAAACAACATCAGCTCCTTGGTTTTGGCTGCTTCTTGGCCACAGGAGTTCTGGGGTGGCGCTGTGGGCTAATGCATCAGACTGCAAAGTCGTTTGAACTGCAAGGTTTGAGGTTCACGCTCACCAGCTGCTCCTTGGAAACCCTATACAGGGTTGCTATGGATACAAATTGACTTGATGGCACTTAACAACAATGGCTCTGGTAGCGTAGTGGTTACGAATCGGGCTGTGAACCTTAAGGTCAGCAGTTCGAAACTACCAGCCGCTCCATGGGTGCAAGATGAGGCGTTCTGCTCCCATAAAGATTTACAGCCTCGGAAACCCTGTACAGGGTCGCTATGGGTACAAATTGACTTGATGGCACTTAACAACAGTGGCACCTGGCCACAAGGTCAGCGGTTCAAGCTCACCAGCCGCTTCAAGGGAGAAAGATGAGGCTGTCTGCTCTGTAAAGGCATAGTCTTGGAAACCATGTTGTTGTTGTTTTAGAACCGCCGAGTCAGTTCCAACTCATATGGACTCTGTATAGGGCTTCGGAGGAGTGGCTGGTGGCTTCAAACTGCCCACCTTGAGGTCCAGCGCATTATCCTACAGCAAAACTCACTGTCCTTTGGGGTCAGAATCCTGGTGTAGTGCTATAGGATCAACACTGGACTGCTAACCACAAGGTCAGTGGTTCAAACTCACCAGCCATTCCTCAGAAACCCTACACAGGGTCACTGTGTGTTGGAACCAACTTGGTGGCAGTGGGTGAGTGTTCTCTCCCGTATAATTGTCATTTGAGTCATGACAAACAGAATTTCCGGGGCAGCCTGAGAAACCCTACGGGGCAGTTCTGCCCTGTCGTGTAGGGCGACTCAGAGTGACAATCAACTTGATGACCATCGAGCTGGGTTTTGCTTTGGTTAGCAGATTTGCTAATGAATGACTTTACTTCATTTAGGTGAAAGGCTCTTCACTCCACTGATCCTATCTTTCAGCAAATGATAGACAGATGTTGCGTTATTGTGGTTCTTAGGTACTGTCGAGTCAGTTCCGACTCCTAGCAACCTTACACACAACAGAATGAAACAACACGTGCTGCTGCCACTGGGTCAATCCATCTCATGGGGGGTGGGGGGACGGGGGTCTTCCTATTCTTCGCTGACCCTCCACTTCGCCAAGCATGATGACCTTCTACAGATGTCCAAAGATGAGAGACCAAGTCTCACCAGCCTTGCTTCTAAGGAGAATTCTGGTTGTACCTCTTCCAACATAGACCTGTTTGTTCTCCTAACAGTCCAATTCTTAAACACGCTTCCTTATTCGTTGTCCAACTTTCACATGTATATGAGGTTATTGAAAATACCGTGGTTTGGGTCAGGTTCACCTTAGCCCTCAAACTGATGCTTTTGCTCTTGAACATTTTAAAGAGGTCTGTGCAGCAGATTTACCTAATGCAATACATCGTTTGGTTTCTTGACTGCTGCTTCTGTGAGAGTTGGTTGTGGATCCAAGCAAAATGAAATCTTTGACAACTTCAATCTTTTCTCCATTTATCTTGATGTTATTGATTGGTCTAGTGGTAAGGATTTTTGTTTTCTTTGCATTGAGGTACAACCCATACTGAAGGCTCTGATTTTAAGTTCTCTTCGCTTTCAGCATACAATGTTATATAATGTGCATATCTCGGGTTGTTAATGAATCTTCCTTCAATCCTGATACCACATTCTTTCTCATATAATCCAGCTTCTTAAATTATTTGTTCAGATTGAATAATTATGGTGAAAGAATGTAACCTGGTGCACACCTTTCCTGAGTTTGAACCCTTGTTCTGTTCTAAAGACAGCCTCTTGGTCTATGTACAGGTTCTAGAATGCCCATTCTTCGCTGTGTTGTCCATAGCTTGTCATGATCCATGCAGTCGAAATGCGTAATCGATAAAGCACAGGTAAACATCTTTCTGGTGTTGTCTGCTTGGATCAGCCACACGTTAGTCTATAGAGGGAACACTACTATCAGGGAAGTCAGCAGTCGTGAGAACAACCAACCACTGGAGATTGAGAAGGCAGGAAGAGACTGGGAAGAATGACCCTGGGAAATGGTAAACACTGGAAGGAAGTGGGGCATTGTGGGGATTGCAGTCCAAAGCCCAAAGCACAATGTGTATGAATTGTTCAATGGGAAGCCAACCAATTATCACTGTGAACTTTCACCTAAATTATAATAAATAAAAAGTTGTGTTTTTTTTTAAAAAAGTATAATAGCAACAGTTCTGGTCATATCCAAAAATCTTCAAGACCACGCTGAGGTTATCTAAAGAGCCTCATAACCACACAGTGTTTCTAACCCATACCTGATTATGTATTTTGTATTGAATACCAGCTGCCCAGTACGTACGCCTTGCACACTCATTTTGACTTCTGTGTCATCTGTCCTCCCTCAGGATGTATAATAAGATATGGTACCAGACCCAAGAAGCCCTCAACTCTTTGCTTGACAAAGAGTCTCAGAAGATGATGGAACCACATAAAAACCAAGTTTTCATCTTCGAAATGTTAGCCACCTTCTACGTAAAGTACGTGCAGATCTTCAGGAAGTTGGAGAATGTCTACGACCAGATTGTCCACCCGCAGAAACGGATCCTGATCCGGAAGATGCTGGACGGCGTCATGGGCCGTATTCTGGAGCTGAAGAATGAAATGGTTGAATTAGAATTAACGGAGTTTCACTATTTTGATGACATTTTACAGGATCTGAAATTGGCTCCTGTAAGTATCATTATGACTTCTTCTTCATTTCACTTCGGTTTAAATACCATACGTAGCCCAGTAACCAACAGACTACAGACTTCTGGACATATGTAGTGATTGTTTGGTGTTAAAACATGGAACACACCCCTTCAATTAAACTGTGCTGTTATGGACAAGACAGAGGTTAGGTTCCTCTTTGCTCTTGGTACGTATAGGTCTCTCCACAGTGCTTGGGTCTGTTGGACACTGAGGTCATATGTTTTTACATGGCATTGTGGTACTTTCCCAGGCCGTTCACAAATGTTCCACTACACACATCTTGCCAGTCCTCAGGAGCAGTCCTGCTTCAGTGCCAGATCTCTCCCTGGCCTTGACTTCCCCCACACCCCCGAATGGGTTGGTTGCTGGTTCCTGATCTTCAGGTAGCTAAGTCTCCTCTTTTGATTGGACCAGGGGTCCAGCAGGGGGAGCATGGCTGTGGGCCTCCCAGTGTGGGATGCCCAAGTGTTCTTTGTCTAGGGACTCTGGGCGTCACAGTGCCCTCCTGTGACCATTCTGACCCTCACTTCACTGCCACGTATCCAGGGTCTTGTCTAGTCTGCCTGTTTCTCGGTCTGTCTGTCCGGGTCTTCCAAGAGCAGCTGCAAGTTTCAGTGTCACAGTTCTGTGTTGTTGTTAAGTTGCTATGTGCTGACTAGTTGGTTCCGGCCCATCTCGACCCTGTGTAGGGTTTCCAAGGAGCAGCTGGTGAGCTTGAACTGCCGATCATGAAGTTCAAACTGACTTTGCAGTCCAACGTATTAACCCACAGCACCAACCCAGGCTTCCACTCACAGTTCTGTTGTTAAGTGCTGTGGAGTTGGTTCCAACTCATAGTGACTCTGAACAGGGTTTCCGAGGCTGTAAAGCCTCATCTTTCTCCAGCTGGTAGTTTCGAACTGCTGACCTTGTGGTTGGCAGCCCGATTCATAACCACTATGCTACCAGAGCTCCCTGGCATACCTTAAAAGGAATGTTTCTCTAAAATAAATTTAAAGGGAGAAAACCGTTACAAGAGTGTTAATTTAATGCAAAGATTGTGCTAGCTCAACCCTTTGCTATTTTAATTTGAGCGATTCTATTAGGTAGGCCAAGGATAAACACTGGACTGCTAACCACAATGTTTCCAGTTCAAAGCCACCAGCTGCTCCCTGGGAGACAGGTGAGGCTGTGTGCTCCCGTAAAGCTCTGCCTTGCCCTCCAGGTTGCTGTGAGTCAGAATTGGCTCGGTGACTGTGGGTGTGGGTATTGTTTCTGCATTGGTTAGGCTGACATAATAAGGTCACAAAGACTCCGTAAGCACCAGCAAACTGATAGGTGGGAATCATGACAGTCTTACTGTAACGTTAGAACAAGGGACGTGGTTATGACTTTTCCTTTGGATTCTATCTGCCTCCTTCTGCTGTTGCTGTTGTGAGCCACTCATAGAGAGCAGCTGGTGGGTTCAAATTGCTGGCCTTGTAGTGACTAGTCCCGTGCTTATCCTATAACGCCATGCCAGGACTCTGTTCCTCTCCTTAGCAGTAATGAGTTCTCTTCACTCAGATGACCTCATCGTCTGTGAGAATGGAAGGTAAACCAAGCAGTGTTTTTTTTCTTAAATCATTTGTCTTCCCCTTGTTGTTGAAAACGCTCAGAGCACAGCATGTTTCAATGATACAGTTTCTATCTGGACAATCCTGTGACATCGATGACGCTCTTCGAGTGGGCCACCATTCTCACTTCCTTTTCTGAATGGCTCATCCACCGTTAACATGATCACTGCCCTCTAGAGATCACTTCTAACCTTTCAAGTTGCTTTCATCAATTCCAGCCCATATGTTGTTGTTGTTAAGCACTGTCGAGTCAGTTCTGACTCATAGCAAAACCCTGTATCAAGTTTCTGAGAAAGTAGCTGGTGGGTTTGAACTGCCAGACTTGTGGTTCACAGTCCAGTGCTGATCCTACAGCGCCACACCAGATTGTCCCCAAAGCAGCACAGTGTACAGCCAGGTGTCTGAGTGCACGTGTTCTTACAGTGTTTTGTACATGGATTTCAGTCATTTCAATCATGACAAAAATACATTGCTTCCTTTTTTTTTTTTTTCTTTCCTAGCAACAGTTGGATATCCCCATTCCCAGGTACTTTTTGAAGGAGAAGTTGGAAGTCATAAAAGAAAGAGAAAAGATGCTTGCCCAAATATTAGCCGACATTGGATTAGATATTACGAGCATGGTTTGTATATCATTTAACACAAATTATTTTATAACCTATTAAGTTGCCTTTTTCTGATGTTCCTAGTTGTGGAAGAAATGATGAGATTATTTTCCATGTAAGGATGAGCAGTACCACCCATGCCCTTTATGTAAGAAGTCCCATAAAGGTTGGGGCTTGTTTTTAATGATTCACAATCATCCTTTTTTCAAGAGCTTAGATATAATGGTCAAAACATAGGGCATTGTTGGTTTAAATTGGACATGTAGCCAGGAGGGACCAGTCCCTGGAGAAGAACAGCATGCTTGGTGAAGAAGGGTCAGTGAAAATGACGGGTACCCCCCAAGGAGATGGATTCACACAGGGTCGCAACGCTGAGCTCAAGGCTGATGCAGGAAAGGGCAGTGTTTAGTTCTCTTGTACGTGGGGTCACTGTGTGTCAGAAACGACAAAATGACACCTGACAGGAGCAAAGTCTGGGCTGGACCTTTGAGAGTGTTTCCTCCCTTCCCCAGAGTTTTGCTCAAAGTCAGAAGGGCAATCAGCATTTTTTAGAAATAATGGTAATTTTTGAGTGCCTACTGAGTTATTCTAGCGTTTAATTCCGTTTTCAGGATGGTACAGGAAAGCTAGCATTCTTAAACTCAAAACCATATGTGCATATCAGACAGGGCGGGGCTTCAAAAAGATTCTGGAAACATGGAATGAAAAGATCATGCACTTTCTCCTCCGGCTTTTAGAAGCCCCCTGGTCTGATGGGAATCACCCACTGGCTCATTGGAGTAGTCCTCGTGGTCTCTACCTGCCGTGTGTGACTCTTAGCGGGTTGGTACTAGAAGCAGGTACAGATGTGGGATGCTCTGGAACCTGACTTAGTCTTCACCGCTGTCTTACAGAAAACTGTGAGGAAGACCATAACCCTGGATGAGGCTGTTAAGGCCATCCAGATTGCCGAGCGGGCCCGGCAGGGCCGCCTGAGGGCCATGTTCATGAAGGAAATCTACCTGCAGGAGTATAGGGCCAAGCAGAGCAAGTTGTTGGGAGACAGAATCCCGAATATGGCGGGCGCGGCGCTCTGCATTCAGAAGGTACAGATGTGGGCCCTTGGGGGAGTAGGACAGGGGTCTCAGCACAGCCAGGGAAACATCCTGGAGTGGGGTGGGACCACCAAAATGCAAAATCGAAAACTTTCCCTTTATCATGAAAGAGACCAGGTGGAACCCCTGAGACTGTGGCCCTTGGTCACTCTCAGTCTGGAACTGAACACTCCCGAGGGGCTCAGTGTTCAGGCAAACAGTAGACAGGTCTCTAAGGGGAATGATAACACTAGGTAGATACACATTCCGCAGGATCATCAACCCCTTCAGGTTGGAAGGGCAGCATTTGTCTTAAGGATAGGGCTCAGAAGGGGGAGGGAAGCTGGAAGAGTGGCCACAGGGAACACAGGCAGGAGGTGGGGCAAGTGAGGCTGTGCTGTGAAATTGACGTGAAACAAAACGTGTGTGAATAGTTGAGTGGAAAACTGGTCTGCTGTGTAAACCTTCACCACATCACGATGAATAAGTTAGAAATCAGTATATAATGTTCCCTTCAGCAGCATCAGAAAGACTCATGAGCTCAGCCCTGGGGAACCTCCAGTTAAATGTGGCCTCAGTTAGATTTGTATTGTAAATGGGTTTTAATGTCAAGGCGTTTCTTTTAAACTGCGGTGAAAATGCACGTCTTCCAGTGACACTGTGGGAAGAAGTACGGGACTGCAAGGTGGGTTTGAACCACAAGGTTGGCAGTTCAAACTCACCAGCTGCTTCTTGCAAACCTTAGACTGGGTTGCTATGAGTTGAAACCGACTCGATAGCACTTAACAACAACAATACCATTCACCAGGACAACTTCCACGCTTCTAAGTCAGTAACATGGATAACATTTTTCATGTCCATTTTCCAAAATGTTCTCTGCCCCATTAACATAAACTCAGCAAAGAAGATCAAGGCATTTGATTCTCCTAGTTTTGGAGATAGTGGGTAATTGCAAACCACAAGGTCAGCAGTTCAAACCTACCAGCTGCTCCTTGGAAACCCTATGCAGGATCATTTAACAGCAACACCATTCAACAAGAATGTCAGTCCTGGTAGAGTTGAAAACTGTGTTTGAACACAGACTATTTCAGAAGGAAGAGAAGATCTGATATGGGTTAGGATCCAGAAGTGTGGACCTTTTGAGGAAAAATGCACCAATAATCACTAGTTGTTAGTGTTATTTTTAGAACTGGGACCCTAAGGTTTCATTACTTTGTCAAGTGTGAACCCTCTAATTTTCACGTAAAGACCCCTGGGTGGCACAAACAGTTTCCAGTTGTCGCCTAGCTTAAAAGGTTAGCAAGTTCAAACCCACCCAGCGGCACCTTGGAAGAAAGGCCTGGTGATCGTCTTCTGTAAAGAAGAAACCAGGGAAGCCCTCTGGAGCCACTGTCCTCTCTAACACACCTGCGAGTGGCAGTCCACTCAACGGTGACACGTTTGGTTTGTTGGCCTTTTTTTATTTTCGCTTTCAGTGTAAGGTGTTGGCAGAAAAATGCTAAGCATCATAACATGACAGAGAGTGGAGTCTGGTTAGAGCGCCAATGAGCATAAACTCATGAAATGAATCCTAGCCCCTGTCCCTGCCCTTGTGTCTGTCAGTAACTGAAGGCAGAGTACATCAGCTCCCATGGGGTTTTCAAGCTGGGACCTTTCTGAAGCTGGTCACCAGGCCTTTGTTCTGAGGTACTTCTGGGTGAATTCAAACACCACCTTTTAGGTTAAGAGTTGAGCACCTGGCTGTTGGCACTGCCAAGGGACTCTGTTCTTGCAGCTAACTGCATGAATGGGAGCAAGGGAGACGAGGGAAAATGTGTACACATGGAGCAGGTAAAATTGTTTTCTTTTAAAAGCTTGGGGTTGGGGAGATTAGAAAGGTTTTGAAAAAGAAAAACCTTTAGTTCAAGACTTGAGATGTCCAATTCATGAAAATCACTGTGTTGTAATTCTCCACCTTTCCCATAAAACAGTGAGGCACCACCCTTTGATCCAGCCCCACTGCCCACAATCTAGGTGTTTCTCTTGAAGAAGTCCAGGCAGGGGGTCTCATGAACAAGAATCGTGGGTCATCTTTGTGGTCAGTTCTTCCCTTCAACACTTTGTTCCTGACCACAGAAGAAAAGCTATTTCACCAGCACATGCTCACGCAATCCCGACACCATGGGCATTTTAACAAATGTGCATCCGAAATGGGAGAAACTGGCAGAGTTTTCTGCACACGCAGACCTCGGAGGTCTGGTTCCCATCCACCATAATCCAGTCAGCAGCATCCTAAAGCTAGTCACACACGTTGGTTGGAAGTCCTAGTGTATGGGAAAGTCTTGTTGATACTAGACTATGGTCTGTGAAGTGAGCAGTGTTGTTGTTTTTTTAAGTCTAAGTGTTGTCAAGTCCATTCGAACTCATAGTGACTCTATAGGGCTTCTGAGGAGAAGTTAGTGGGTTTGAACCCCCAATCTTGCACTTCAGATTGACCTTGTGCTCCAGTACTCATCCAACATGATGGAAAAGCTTGTAATGTTTGGAGAAAGATCAAAAGGTGACATAGAGACACAAAGTGAGCAGACATGGTTGAGAAAATGGTGCCCACAGACTGTTTCGACACAGGCTTGTCACCCACCTTCCTTGCATAGAAGACGCAGTGTCTAGGAGGTGCAGTGAGGGGAAGTACAGTCAAATCAGATATGCCTGTATGTGTTGTAAGCAAGTGACCTTTTGTTTGTTTCAAGGTTTGGAAAGCCTTTCATCAAAACAGGAAAACCAACAAACAGAGAGAAGAAGAGATGATATTTCTGGGCATGGTAAGTTTGCTTACCAGTGGGCATTCTTAAAGAAAATCTCCAATGCCAGTGGATTTCCTTGGTGCTGTCTGAGGGAAGAAATGAAAGCAGAGTAAATGATGGCTAACCCAGGGAGGTAGAATCACTTGTTTCGGGCAGAAGTCCATCCACAGCGGTGAAAGAGGGCAGCAAGGGCCTATTTCCATGTCCACATGGGGCATGCAGATGGCTCCAGACCTGTTCTGTCCCCAGCAGTCCCCAGCACGCATGCCATTTCGGTTGTGTAGCCAAGTCTCGTGATTTACGGTACTTGTCACTGGGTGCCGTTTTGTGAGTTCTGACTCATAGTGACTCTATGCAGAGCCAGTCCTGCGTCATCCTCACAGTCGTTGTTACAGCCACTGTGTCTGTCCATCTCGTTGGTGCCCCTTTTCTAGTTCACTAACCTTCCACTTTGCTTCATTGCTTTCTTTCTATAAAGTCGCCGTGAAACTGATCAATGAACACAGACTCTTTGCTCCAGAGGAGATTCGTGGTTGGGGTGGTGCAGCGAGTCCTTTTGATACGGTCTTTCTGGTCACAGGCCTGTAACTCCCAAGGAATGATGGGACAACCACAGTCTTGCACAGGATTGGTCGATTGACTATGCAAAAAGTGGCTTGAAACCACTCTCCTCACCAATAGGACTGAGCCACTGGCAACCCAGCTAAGGAATTGGCTGGTTCTGCCCTCCTGCCAGACTTGTCTGAAGGCCAATCCCACTAGAGTTCATGGGCCTCAGTGCCATCCACTAGAGTCTAGAGCAGAGCGTGTGCTGTGGACCCAGGGTCCCTGTGTTCAGAACCCCTGAGACCCAGAGACCCAACAGAGAGAGTGGTACCACTGAAAACAGAAAGAGGGTGGACAGCTTGGCCCACAGAGGAAAAGAGAACTGTGGTGGGCTGGTGGACCCACAGAGGGGGGTGGGGCGGGTCTGTGGTGGACTGGTTTACCCACATGAGGAGAGAGAGAGAGAGAGAGAGACTTCTGTGGTGGGCTGGTTTACCCACGGGGGGAAAAGTGAAGTAACTGAGCTGGGCTGATAGACCCATAGAGCGACGTCTGTGGTGGGCTTGCTGGCCCTCCGTGCAGGGGTTCCCTGCTGCTGACGCTCTGTAACATGCTCCCATACAGGCCAGTAGCCTGCGTGTGCCTCATGCAGCACATGTCCCTCCCTGCAGGCTCACTGGCGACAGATGCCATGTGGACCTAAGTCCTGTCGTGGAGCCAGATTAAAGGTCTAGGTGGGATAACCCACCAGCAAGGCCCAGCAGCATAGCAGACACCTTGAAACCCCCATGTAGGACCCCCAGCAGCACGATAGTAGCTGAGGCAGCATTGGTGTGAATGCACTGTCTGACCTGAACCACTGTTGGAAGCCCCAGAGACACAAGAATGGAGAGGGTGATTGAAGGCAGGGTACCCACGTCTCTGCTGAGCATCTCTGTGCATGGAAGGACAGACCCTCCCTTTACCAACGCTGTGTCCATGTCCCATGTGGGAGCTCCATCCCATGGGGTGACTGATGCTCGTGGCTATGCTCACCTCATTCTTCCCTGGAGGTTTGGGGCACCGCCTGCTCTCCCACGAAGCAGACAGACAGGTAGATGGTTAGGTTACTGTGAGCCTCTGGTCACAACATGACTTTGTTTTATGTGTGTGGCAGTTTGTCTGATTGACATTGTTGGTTCTGGGACATTGAGCTCACAGCCAACAGCACTGTCACCTGTGCCTGAAGGAAGCAGATCTAACACACTTACTTCCTCCAAATGGTGCCTTTCTCATACTCAGGACACTAGCCAGCACTTCAGCACTGAGGGGGCAGTTTAAACAGCAAAACCAATCCCCCCAAAAAATGCCATAAACGCTGCAGTAAACGTACAAAAAGGACATTTGTTTACAGTGTGGGCGGAGAAATAATCCAGAATGTCTCATTTCCTACAACCTCAGCGGGGAACATTCACGTCCGGGAACTTGGGTGTCTGGCAACTCTGTACCTGCCCACAAATGACCATAAGGGTTGATCTTGGGGCCACAAATGACCAGCACAGAACCATTCACAAGGGCCAATTTTGGTGTTAGAGATGAATTTTAGCAGGTAGGCCAAGTGTGCAAATACGGAACCCACGAATAATGAAAGCTGACTGTGTTTGCAGGCGTGAGATGGGGTTGCTCTTTTTGTGGGGTCTCCATTGCAATTACGGAGTCCTGGTGTGGCGCTGTGGGTTAATGCGCCAGACTGAAAAGCTGTTTGAGCTGCAAGGGTCAGCAGTTCAAGCTCACCAGTCACTACTCAGAGACCCTATACAGGGTCGCAACAGTAGTGAGGTTGGGCCAGGATCGGGCAGTGTTTCATTCTGCTGTGCATAGGGTTGCTATGAGTCGGTACCGACTCAATGGCACCTAACAACAACAACAACAACAACAACAACAGCACAGGGTTGGATGTAGTGTGGCTCCTTTGGGACCCTGTGGTCATGTGATCACTGCTTCTGTGTGGTCATGTGATCACTGCTTCTGTGTGGTCATGTGATCACTGCTTCTGTGTGGTCATGTAATCACTGCTTCTGTTTTACCGCTGGACCTCGCTGGCGGAAACACCCCTGCACGGGGTCTCCCGAGCCTCTACCGCTGGCTCCCACCATAGTACCCAGGCCCATGTGGGGCTTTCTGTACTGCTTTATAACAATGTTACCTCAAATATAGCACCTCAAATTCATGCACAAGTATGACCTCGCAGTTTCTGCTGGCCAGGAGTGTGGGCTCAGTTTAGGACTCTGTAATGTGTTGTGGATTTAATTGTGTGTCCCCCAAAGTGTGTGTCACCCTGACTGGGCCAGAATTGTGTGGGTGTCCTTCATCCTGTGATCTGATGTCATTGCCTTCCATTGTGTGGCGGGCTGCAAGCTGTAACCTCTGCCTGTGCTGAATGAGGCAGGATTAGGTGATGGTAATGCGGGTTAGGTTCTGTTTGTTAATGAGCCAGGATTTCATGTGATCAATGAGAATGAAGTTCTGTTTGTTACACTGATGAGACTGGACTATGACCTTCCTCAGCTCACAGCCCTAATTGAATGTGGGGGCGTTTCCCTGGGGCGTGGCCTGTATCACCTTGTATCTTACAGGAGACAAAAGACAAGAGAGGGACGCACTACCCCCAAGAAAGAAGTGTCAGGAACAGAGTTCATCCTTTGGACCAGAGTCCATGTGCTGGGAACCTCCTAGACCCGGGGGATGATTGATGTCAAGACACTTGGAGACCTCTGAGGGATGCTGAGTTCACAGGTGGTAGAGCCTTCCTCCAGAGCCAGCAAAGAGAGAGATAGAAAGTCTTCCCCTGGAGCTGGGGCTCTGGATTCAGACCTCTAGCCTCCTAAACTAGGAAAGAGTAAACTTGCTTGTGGTGACTCTGATACTGCACCAGAAGACTACTAAGACAAGAGGCTACAATCAAGGCGTTGCCTGGGGCTGAGGTCCCATCTGAGTCTCAGCTGGGGAAGGACCTGCTTCTAAACTGGTTGTTTAACATGCTGTTATTGTTAAAGTGCCATCAAGTCCATTCCAACTCCTAGTGACCCTGTGCAGGGCTTCCAAGAAGCTGCTGGTGGATTTGAACAACCAACTTTGTGGTTAGCAGTCCATTGCTTATCCTACAGCGTCACACCAGGACTCCTTGTTGATGGTAGTAAACCAAGAAAACCAAACCAATTACCGTCGAGTTCATGGCGACCCCTCATACTTGTGAATAGGACTGTATTCCATTGAGTTTTCATGGCTGTGACATTTTGGAGCCCTTTCAGGCTTTCATCTTACATCCTTTAGTCAGTAACCAAGTGCTTAACCCTTCACAACATTCAGGGACTCCCAAAGATGAAGAATCTCCCTCACCGAAGCATTTCTCAATACCCCAGCCAAGAGAGTGTTCGTTGGGCCCTCTCGGGAGATGAAGTTGAGAAGTACGTGTGCAAGTTGAAGTTGATAAACCAAACCCGATATGCTAGCCTCCCTCAGTCTTCCTCTTCCTTCTCTGTATCATGATTGGGACACTTTGTCTTCTCAGCCTCACAGGGCCTGTTCAGTCAAGTTTCAGTCCGCTGACCAATGTTCTAACAGCTTCCAACAGTCCGCTGACCAATGTTTGAGCAGCTTCCAAGCTTGATGAACTGTCATAGAAACACTCTGCTCATCGTCTTTATACCACAACTCTGCCATCATCCAGCATTCGACTCTACCTCCTCTGGTCCAACATCTGAGAACCTATGCCCACACGTTTTCCAGTGTTTTGTCAGTATCCATCTGCAAAGTCCTGTGTGTCTAATGAGTCCAAAACCAACAGAGTCGGTGAGTGGGGTGAGTCTTGAGGAGAACAGACACCCCCTGACATTGCAGCTGTCCCACATACAATTACTACAGAGTCTTCAGAGGAGGGGAGACTTGGGAAGGCAAGGGTTGCCACAAGCAGGAAAAGCCCAGAAAGCCTCAGGATTCACGTTTCTCGGTTTGATGCGAATCTCCGTTTGAGCCGCAGCTCACACCGTTCTCCTAACACTCATCTGAGAAACGTGGAGAAGCTGTGAATTCACCTCACGTTGTCATTTTACAATCTCTCAGGGAAATTCGGGGATGGATGTCCAGCTCTCCTGGCCTCGTGACTGCAAGAGAGAGGACGTTGATTTAGGGACACTGTAGACGTAGGCTCACAAATGCACGTTCATAGGGTCACTGTGAGCCACTACCGACTCAACAGCAACAGCTGTCATCTTGTAGTTTATGGTTTAGAGACGTGGATGCTCACTGGACCCTTGACCGTGACCCGAGCTGGGCAATGAAGACCTGTATTGGGCGGCATTTTCCTTGTGTCAGAACCATGGTGTACTGAGAAAGTGCCATCCCACACACAGTGCTGTGGTCAGCTCTGCTTTCTCAGTGGTCATCGGGTCTCCCGAGGAGCCTGCCTTCATAGCTACCTCCACTCTGTGCCG